GCCTTAAAGAATGAGAAACTAGAAACTCTTATAGCTATGCACATTGAGGCCATACTCTTAAGTGAAATTAATAAGTCACCCTTGTGTAAATACCGAATAGTTTCTCTGGTGTGAAAAAGTAAAAGTGTAAATAAGGATCCAAATGTACAATTGATATTGTGTTATAGAGAGAAAAGGGCTAAAAGAGTAGAAGTGGGAGGGGTAGGGGAAAAGTAAAAAGGGAAACAATATATGAAAAGGAAAAACATGGAAACAATGTCTTTGTAAACAGGTAATGGTAAAGGCGGTGAAGGGAGGGCTGAGGAATGGGGGAAAATAAGAACCAAGACCTGTCATGTAAAGGTACAAGATCCCAATGATGAATGTAACTGTACTGTATACCTAAAATGTACCAATAAACTTAATAAAGATTAAAAACAATCTCTACTCACTGCCAGCTAAATCAACCTGATCACTGTGCTCCCCCGCTAAAGCCAGGTATGTCATTACTACTGTGTTAACAAAAGACTGGGTTGTTGCTTGATCATTTTGATTGGGGACGCTAATCAAAATCATTCCACATGCTCAAAGTGTCCATGGCATTTTTCACCAAGTACACTCCTGTGCCTTCCACCTCTCTTTACTAGTGTTGTGTTAGAGCAGAAACCCCACCCACAGCCTTGACCGGGGGCATCTGCTGTGAACAGTGCTTCCTTCAAGAAGAACCATCTTCTCCACATTATGCCTTTTCAAAGAAAGATACTTCACAAACAGCATTAAGGAGAGATATTCCAGCTGACATACTGGAATAAGTTTATTTATGCATGGAAGGCACAGACATTTTCCCTGTGAGAGGCTGCTATAACTCTGTCATTATTAAACAATTCTCAAGCATATTTGCTTCTAAAATTCAAGCAAAATTTCACTTGGGGTTACAAAGCATCCTCAGTTCAAACAGGCCAGTTTAAGCATGTTGAACAAGTGCATAAAACTTAACTATTTCTCTTGAATTTTTCCAGGTTAATTCTTTATAATGTCTGGATGCCCCATGACTTTGCTTTTATCATTCTCCACCTCCTTAGTTCCATTTCCCCATCTACATTTTCTTATAGTATAATTTTTCTTTTCTGTTTTCAAAGAAATACCCTTTGCTTTAGTTAGTAAAAAAAAAAAAATCCTAATTATTTGATGCCTCAATTCTGTCCTTGCTTTTTCATACCTTACAAGTAATTTATATATCAAACAAGGAACAGTATGGTTGCAAATACTCATTTTATTTTAAGTGAGAAGAGTTGTCATGACGTGGGAGTCAATGATGTATTAAGGTATCTTGTAATTAATTACAGAAATCTAAGCTGTATGATAAACTTTTATTTCTTTAAGTGTGACACTAGTCATTTTTAATAATAAAGTGATTATTAATGTGGGGCCCCATAAAATCTATACATCTGTATTCTTTTTACCATGTTACCCAAGAAAATGCCTCAAATCTAGCAAATGAATAACCTTACCTAGAGCCAGGTTCACTACAAGTGAGCGGGCAAATGAAAACTGAGTGATCAGGGAAGACTTCTTCCCTACCCCAGGAAAGCGAGTGCCCCGAAAAGATGAGACAGAGTATTTACAGCATGTCAAAATATAAACCAAGCCGGGCTTACACAGCACACATCCCCTGGAGAGCTAGGCAATTTTACTACAGCTCTGTTAGTGACCTAAGGGGCGCATCCAAGAACGCTCAGTCTATTGGAGAAGCGAGTTCTCCTCCTCCGGTCATAATAACTATCCTATGTTCCCTCCCTCTGCGCCCCACCACGAACCTCCAAGTGTCTGTTCATTCCTTCTTCTTTCCCTAGGTAGTCCTACAAATCCCCTCCATGCAGCATTTTCATCTCTGTGTGGAAACTGGTGCCACATTCATATTTAAAGTCATTCTTTTTAAGATACCTTTTTCTAACCACTTTCCATCTGTATCATAGCTCTGTGATTTAAAGGAAAAAAAAAAAATAAGCCAGTAAATACTGACACTCTGTTTTCATCTGGTGCTCAGTTAACGCACTGTAAGTTAGCCTATATTCTGCAAAGCAATGAAATTCAAGGCTTCAGCCACATAAATCCATAGTCTACATTGATTTCTCTGAGCTCTAAACTCATCTATCCAACTTCTTATGACATATTTTCCCTTGGCATCAAAGATATCACAAGGTCAATCTGAATGAAAATCATCTTTCTCCTCTAAACATTTACCTTCTATCTGATTACAGTCTGAGAGAGAGACAACCACCCCTCTGCAACTGCAAAACCTGAGGTTATACTCAATTTAATCTGCTCCTTCACTTCAAATTTTAACAAGTCCACAAGCTCTATCCTGTCTCTTAACCATTGCTTACATAAACCCCACCCAACTTTCAGTTTCCAGTGTTATTCTCTTTAGTTAGGGCTTCTGGCTATCTATGAGTGTCTTTCTGATTAGATTTTTCTGTTTTCAACCCTTTTCTAAAATCTGCCTTCCTTTTTAATTGGCAGGGTGATTTTCCCAGAATGAGTTATTTAAAATCATTGAATGAACTAATACTGAAAGTGGGGTGCTTCCCCGACGCAACAGGAGGGCACAGCGGTCGCAGTCCTCACCCTCCAGGCTGAACACTGAGCAAAGCACAGCGCTGTGACGCTCACAGCAGCAAAGGCCACAGCTGGCACACGCGACACCCTGCAAATTCTCACGGCAGGAATACTGTGTGTCCTACTTCAAAACTTGCATTGCTTCTTTGTATGTAATTTGCCTTGGGTTTATTGTGCACAATTTGTTTATATGTTCTTGTGAATTATCAGGAGCAGACTGGATAAATACGTGTGAATAACCTCCTGTAAATAAATTTTATGACAAAAATGTACTAAACTATTTTCTGAAATTAGTTATGCAGGTTGAGAGTTCTTGCTATAGCTTTGACTATATGCTATGGATTCTTAGCTGGAATTTGGCAAACAGTAGCCTTGTTGCCTGTTTAAAACCTAAATTTTGGGAGAAAATTACAATTAAAAATAGAAATAAAAAAATGAAAATAAAATCATCAAATGTTTTTACAATTCAAATCAAGCTTTCCAGCATAATAGTAAAATCTTTTATAGTAAAAACAAGATATTTCTCTCGTTTCTTCTCAGCCTGTTGCCATCTGTCCATATCATGAACTGTGATCATATCAAAGTACTATCTATGTATCGTACTTTCTCAAGACTGTATTTATACATCTTTTCCTTTTGCCTGCAAGCACGCTTGCCTGCTTTTTGTTTGTTTGTTTTGTTTTGGTACCGGGGATTGAATTCAGGTCCTTGCGCTTGCAAGGCAGGCCAACAAACCACTGAGCTAAATCTCCAGCCCTGCTTGCCGGCTTTTGTTCTAGCTAAATTATATTAAAGCTTCAAAGATCACCGAAGTGTTATATTTCCACTGAAGTCTGACTACTGCCTCCGAACTCCTCCAGACCTGAGTTGCATTTCTTTTCTCTCTGCTCCCAAAGACCCTGTGTTAATCGCCTCCTAGAACTTGTAAAAAATGGCGGTAAGAACACAACATAAGATCTACCGTCTTAATTTTTAAGTGCACAATACGATATTGTTAACCATTGGCACAATCATCTCTACAGCTCAGTCATCTTGTGAAACTAAATCTTTGTATCTACTGGATGGCAATTCTCTGTTTTCCTCTTTCCTTGGCACTGGAAATCACGATTCCATTTTTTGTGTTTATGAATTTGAATATTTTAGGTACCTTTTCAAAGTGGAATTGGGTAGTAGTTGTATTTCTACAATGAGCATACTTAGTATAAGGTGCTCAAGGTTCATACTGTTGCATTTTGATTGCAGGGTTTCTCTTTTATTACTGACTAATATTCCATTGTACATATTTTTCTCATTATGCATTTACCTATTGAGTTTATGCTTTTCCCCATTTTTCTTATTGTGAATATTGCTGCAATATATATGAAAAGGCTAATAATATTGCCTCAAGATCCTGATTTTAATTCTTTTGGCTAAATACCTAGAAGTGGGATTACTGTGTTATATTACAAAGTTGCACTAGTTAAAACAGTATGGTATCAACATGAATATGCATATAGACAAATTGAACAGAATGAAAGATTCAGAAATGAATCTACACATGTTCAGTCAGCTTATCCTCAACAAAGATGCCAAGAATACACGCCAAAAAAAGGCTTTAAGCAAATAATGTTGGGGAAAATGCATATGCACATGCAAAAGAATGAAACTGGACCCTTATCTTACACTATAGATAAAAATTAACTCAAAATCCATTAAAGACTGAAACATAAGACCTACAGCTACACAACTCCTAAGAGAAAACTTCGTGACCAGAGTCTTGCAATGGTTTGTTTCATAGCTACAACACCAAAAGTGCAGGCAAACAAAGCAAAAGGAGGAGAGTGGGACCTACTCACTGAACTGAAAAGCTTCTACACAGGAAAAGAAATATTCAACAGATGAAACATTTTGCTAGCACATTTTACTGCTTTGTATGTGTGTGTTGCTTTCCTACTCTTTCTTCACACACACATGTAAATGCAAGTACACTGCTTGCTAAATTGAATCTGGCAAAATAGCCCCTGTGATATTCAAGATGAAAGGTAGAGAATGAGTCTCACGCTGCAGATTTTGGCAGGAGGTAGGAACTGTGGGAAGAAGGCAAGTTGGAAGGAGGAGAAAAAGAGGATCACAGGCATCCTTCCCAGAAAATTTCCCAGAATGTCCTTGGATATCAAAGGATCACTCTCGGATTCTTGTTTGGACAAGTATAAAGATTCACAGACAAATTGGCTCTGGTCACTATGGGGAAATATTTCTCCAAAAGTCAAACAATTTCTTGGCAGGTTACCTAACCAGGGCAATTTTTACCTTAAAGACATACGGGTGGTTCTAACTTCTGTTCTTAAACCACATCTCACAAATTATGTGTATAAGACTGGAGGCTGAACAGAATGAAGAACAAAATAATGGTAGCGCCTTACCTGAGACAATACATATATAAAATCAAGGAAGAAATGATGAACAGGAAGATGTAAAGTAGTGTGGTGATCATCACAGCAAGACTTTGTGATTGTTGTGTTCTTACAAACACCCAGTAGAGCTTGGCTGCATCCGCTATAGGGGCCTCGCCGTTACGTGTAAGTCGCTGACAAAGGAAAACACAGATTAAAAGAATAAGAATGGAAACATTAATAATCAAATTAGATTAATATAAACACATAAAAACTGTACGATACTCTAACATTTTTTAAATTAAATCTTCTAAATAACAAAATTGCCAGATCTTCAGTTACACAAAAGAACAGGAAAAAAAAAAAAAAAAAAAAAAAAAGGACTGGGCTTTGTATGCCTGGTCTACTGTTTTTCTCATTTTGCCCTCCCAGCATTTAAATGCATGTACTCAACCCACAATTCATGAAGTAAAAGCCATGTTTTATTTATGTGCTATTAACTTCTGAATTTAATGAGTGCAAGATATGAAGAAATTAAATATGATGGTAGAAAGATTCCTTTCTCTCTGAAGCAGATTTGATAGGAATTTAATTTGTGCTATGCATAAAAGAGATGGCTTATTTTAGAAACTTATAAAAAAGTTATCAGGCTATTTAATGTGAGCTGGAAAAAAACCAAAGTTTATATTAGGTTAATTTAAAAATAAGCTTCTGTTTTAGATGAGGAAAAACATTTTATACTGGATTATAAATAAACACATGGAAATGAATTTGTTAAAGACAAATATAAATTGCTGAGGACCCACAGAATCAGCATATAACCTCATTGGCCTTTGAGTTTTAGAGAACATGAACATTCTTGCATTACAATCCTCATAATATCAAGTGGAAGTACAAAGTAAGGTATTTTTTCCCCCTGAGACAAGAGAAAAGGAAGAATATCTTTAGTTTCTAAGCTGACAATTATGTAAGTATAGCTTAAGACACTTTTAAAAGTAGCTAATCCAAATCACATATGTGTAGAAGAAAACAGAAACCTAGACAGGTTAATTTGTATTTTCTCTACACTAAAATATACTGTAGTAATTGGGCAATGACTAGAATTCAGATGCTCCGGTTCTCAACTACTGCTTGTCTACCACACCAAACTTTTATTTTTATACTCTGCATTTGTTAACCAGTCTGCCTCGCACAATGGGATGACCCGCTAGTTCTCTGAGCATCAGATTGGTAAATGTTGCCATCTATTTCTCCTTTTCCAGATCTGATTTTTTCTATTCCTTAAGGATAAAAAACTGACTCAGGAAACAATAAAAACAATTTATGCTTGACGCCAATAACACAATTGATATGGATTAAATCTACAGTGTCCACACATGTTCAAAAGCTGGGCTTTCAGAAGGTAACTGGATTGTGGGGGCTCTATATTCATCAATGGAGCTCAGAGCTCAATGTGCTGTTAGGAGAGGGGGCCAGGCTGGAAGAGGCGGGGAGCTTGGATAACCTGGAAGGGTTTATCTCTTTCCATGGCTCCTCCCTTCTCTCTCTGCTTCCTGGTTGCTGTGCAATGAGCAGCTTCCCTCCACCCATGCCCTTCCACATTGCTGTTTACCTTGGAGTCAGTCAACCCTGGACCGAGCCAAAATGAATCTCTCTTCCTCTAACTTGTGGGTGCTGAGTGTTTTGTGCCAGCAAAAGAAAAATGACTGAGATAATGAGCTAATCCATAGATATAGATTGCTTATTTGACCCACCCATATTGACCTCCTACTGCCATTAAACTCAGAAGATAAAAGATGGAATGAAGTTACACAAAAGCATTAGTCCTTGGAGTTTAATTTTCAGTGTGTGTATGGGGGGATTGTAAATTACTGGTAAGTTTACAAGTAAGATTAACATGATCCATCAAAGAACAATATGAAGAAGATAAAGAAGAGAAGGTATAGGAAGTATCTTAGCTAGTTGTCTGCCACTGTATAACAAAACACCTGAGATAAACAACTTAAATGCAGGATGGGTTTATGTTGGCTCAGTTTCAGATGTTTCAGCCCTTGACAAACTCCCTCTTTGTTTTCCAGCCTGTGATAAGGTGACAACATATCACAGTGGGGACACACACTGAAATAAGATGCTTACCTCATGGTGGCCAGGAAGCAAAGATAGAAAGAAGGGGCACAGCCCCAGTAGCCCTTCAATGGCAACCCCCCAAGCCTAACTTCTTCCCTGATGCCCTACTTCCTAAAGGTTCTGCCACTCCTGGTAGTACCACAGGCCCCAGCCTTTAGCACATGGGTCTTTGTGAGACACTCAATATCCAAAAGACAGCAGGAGCAATGGGTGTGTGTTGTTAAATATTACTGTCAGAAAATGTCTCACAAGCAAATGGCATTCAAGTAAAGGGTGTAAAGGAATGGTCCTTGGATCTGCAAATGGTATTCATAACGCACTGTTCATACTGTGTGTACACACCTTTGATTTCCCCACTAGATTTTAAATCCTTCCCTGAACTATTGAGGCAAAGGCTTTTATAGCTTGCATCACCCATAGGACATAATACCATTACCTCATTGTAATCCTCTCATCTTTATTCTTTTTATTTTCTGTGTAAGCTTTTCAGGTTTATTCCTAGCTAATATCTCATTGGATTCTCCCAATAATATTAAGAAATGAAGAGGTCAGTGTTACTGTTTGTAGGTGTTACTACATTTTAGGGTACCTATGAGGAAAATGAAGGCTAGAGAGATTAACTGTGTCACCCAGTAACAAATGGCAGAGTTTGGACCAGAACTCAGCTCCCCCAGACCCCAACTTTATGGTCCTCCTACTACACCATGGTCAACTTTAATAATACTATAGTTTGAATGCATCAACAAAAAGCATGTGTTGGAAATTTAATTTTCAATGCAACTGTGTTGGGAAGCAGAGACTGGTGGGAGATGTTTGGGTCATGAAGAATGGTGCCAAAGGGCGTGAGGCTATGAGTTTGATCTCTTTTTTTCTTTTAGCACTTCTACCAAAGGATGAGAGCAAAAAGGTTCTCACTGAATGTTAACCCCCTAAACTTGGGCTTTCCAGATTCCATAATCAGACAAAAAATATGTGCTTGTTATAAATTATTCAGTCTCAGATAATTTATTAAAACGGCATAAATTAGATGAGTCTCAAGAATTATCTGCTGAATGACAACACTTGCACTTTACCTTGCTTGCTCTTTTATGCTTCTCACTATTAATATTAAGGGCAAGAACAACACCATGTTTATTCTATGTCTTTAATAATTCTTTGTAGAAGTAGATAGTCAATAAATATATGCTGATCAATTAAAAATTTTCTTCAACTTTTAAAACTTTTAAAAGGTTACAGATCTTACAAAGGAAGTTTTCTTTTGTTTTCACTTGGTTTTATTTATTTTTTTAAATGGGATCTTCCTGTGTTGCCCAGGCTGGTCTCAAACTCCTGGGCCCAAGTGATTCTCCTACCTCAGATTCCTGATTGTAAGGATTACAGGCATGCACCATCACACCCAAACTTCAAAGAACGAGTTTCAGTGAAATTGTTGTATGATCATGAGAAATGAATTTTAACCTTTGAGACAGCAAACTGAGAGACTGGAAAAGTACTATGGGCAATATCACCATTCAGTGATTCGGCCTTAAACTATTCTACCTGTCATATCTCTTGTTCGATTGCCAGGAGCAAAATAAATTCAGAGCAGAAAACACCAGTGAATTTACACTATGTAACATCTCCCTGGCTTGCTCAGCTAATTAAAATACTGTTGATTCTCAACTTTCCCTGTTAAGAGGAAGTGCTGAAGGACTTAAAAGTATGCATTTAGACAACCTGAATCTCAATCTATGATAACTATGGTCCTGTGTAGAACAGTTCTCAAGTCCACAGTGTGGAGTTTCGACCAGATTGACTATAGGATCTACCTTAGTGGTTGGTGGAGTACACTTCTGGGTGTGTCTTGGTGGGGTGAAGGACTCATGGTCTTGGGGTCTATGTGTGGCCACTCCTGCTCTGGCGCTCTTCCCCTGCTCTGCTTCTGTTGCTGAGAACTGAGCAGCTGGGCTCCACTCTGCACATTTGCCATCGTGTCTCTGCTTTGAAGCTATCCAATCATGGACTGAAACCAGAAGCAAATTAAACACCTCTTCCTTAAAGCTGTGAGTGTTGGGTATTGTGTCTCCATGGGAGACAGTGACTAGGACAGCGAGCTTTGGTAAGCACCAACACCTCCTGTTCACCCCTCCATGCAGTCCCTTGTGCAGGCCTGTAACTTGGCATTTGTCAGTTCCCAAGTGACACTACTACTGTTGGTTCAGGGACCACCCTTGAGAACTACTGCTTTAGATCAGTACTCCCCAACTTCAGTGTGCTTAAATCACCTGGGGAAAAGATTGAAATGCATATTTAATTCAATCCAGGGGCATGTCCAAGTGCATTTCTACAGGTGCCCGGGGGATTCCAATGCTTCTAATCTATGGATTACACATAGCTTTAGAACTTTTTTGAAAAACTGTGGAAGTAGATGTCATTTGTAATAAAATGTGATGGATTTTAGCTGTAAAATTGATGACTATGGAATAAACATTTAGCTCTTCTTTCCAAGTACAAAGCTATATTCATCTTTTAGAATCCAAGTCAATTTCATCGGGTTACAGACCTCGAACTGGTTTTAAAATGGCCATGCTGGAGGCTACTTTCCTGAACATTACATCAGGGGCCCCAGAGTAAATTAAGCCTGCTCATTTTGTCATCTGCCTTGGATACAGTGAGCAGATTGGCCATTAATATGCCTAAAGACACAAGGTAATAAGGAACACCATTCCATGAGTGTTGCAGACTTTCCTTCTGAAAGGCCTCTGATGATCATAAAGGACAGCTGCTGCTCCCTCCCATGAGGCTTCCCATGTGGCATTGCAGTAGGCTTGGTCCCAGTACCACACCCACACAATACACACACCGGGCCTCTGGGAGGAATGGGGAAAGACTGGGGGAGATAGTTCTCCTCTAGGGCTGATGGCACCCTCTCTAGATCTTCTGCTCAACAAACCTTGAGAGCACCAGCTCCTTCTTGCCAGCCCGAAAACTGAGGGAGGTACAGATGTGGACACAATCTAGCTGGCTCCAGCTGAATCTACTCAGAATCAGAAGGAGTTTAATCAGCAGAGTGGAAGAAAACTACTTTGAGATGGGATCAAAAACACAACACTTCTGGCTCCAAAGGCTCCCTCTTCCCCAATATCATCAAAGTTATCAATGGTTCTGAGGTTACAGAGTGGCCACATGCTGGCACATGAAAACAAGTCTGCCTGTTAAGTCCTCATGGGCTTTGCTTAGCATATGGCTCTGCCTCCAATCCCCAGCAGCAGTACTAAGAACTGGCTACAGTGGCAGGCTCTATCTGCACTGTTTTAAAGTCTTTTTAATAATGTGAAATGATCTATATGATGAGAACCAATAACTGCACTTGTTGCCAAAGTTTAAGCTGTCTAGCAGAAATTGTTTCCATTCAAAAATAAGCCATTCTAATTTTCATATGAAACTTAAAATTATACTATTAGACTCAGAGCTTCAAAGACCCCAGTTTGGTTAAGAGCAGCCTAAGAATGCACAGGAAATGAAAGCCCAAGTTATAAAACAGCAAAGGGGGAAAAAAGGTATTTTTGGTAAAATATCTAGCACCTTGTTATCCAAGATGTGGCTGAGGGAACCAGATCATTGGTACTGGTATCGTGTAGGGACTTTGGGAGATACAGAATCTCAGACTCCACTGGCTGAATGAGAATGAGAGTTTTAATAAAATCCCCAGAGAATGTGTGAGCACGTTAAAGTTTGAGAAGCATTGCTATAGCCCACTATGGCCGGAGAGAGATAAACACAGAGCAGGCTCTGCTGATCTGAGCTGTCTCCTATACCACTCAGGACACAGGGTGTTTCCATGCATGTAGCTCGAACAGCACCTTAGTCTATAGTTCTAAGAACACACTGACAATGGAATCAGTGTTAAGAAGAGCCCAATAAAACACCCCATCTTTGATCTACTTGGCACAGTTAGTATAAACGAAACGCATACACAGTGTATACCAATTGTGAAATTGTAATTTCCATATGCATTGGGCATATAATATTATTGCATAATTAATTTTACAAATGATTATTTGGCCATTTTGATTAATATATACTTTCCACCTGCCCCTTTGCTTGAGGCTGTATTTTATGGTAAAGTCTTCAGTATAAAATTTAGCTAAAATTCAGATTTCTCTTCCTTGTACCAATCAAAGTTACTTAAACATTTGTTGACCCCATGTTAAAGTATATTTTGGCTTGAATTATTTTACCTTTAGTAGCTTTAATTTTTTTTTTTTTTTTTT